CAGCCCTTGCACGCACAGCCCTGTCCCGAGGCGTCCCCCCCCCCCCGCCCGCTCGCAAATTATCCCCATCCTATTCACCTCGCCCCGCCCCGCACCGTTGTCCCTCCTCCTTCCTTCCTTCCTTCCTCCTCCTCCTCCTCCTCCTCCTCCTCCTCCTCCTCCTCGTCCCCGTCCTCCTCGTCCTCCTCCTCATCTTCCCCCTCCTAGTCATTAAAACTGTCGCCGTTCATTGCCGTTGCGCTCGTCGTCGCCGCCCCCCATCAGCTTCGGGGCGGCGGCGCGTGCGCGGGGGGCGATGCGCCCCGCGCAGGCGAGCAGATAATCGATGATCGCGCTTCGCGGCTTGGGCCGCCGACGCGGCAACTTTTGGGGGGCGGCGCAAAAGCGCAAGCGCGCGATGGACCCAGCGTTTCTTACAGCGCGGCGCGGGGGCGCGAGCTATGGAGTTCGATGGGGATCTGCGAGCGAGCGCAATCGTGCATGGGCGGGCTGGGGCGGGTGGGGGGGGGGGGGGCAGAGCGCCGCGCGCCGCGCGCCGCCAGGTCACCTTGCTGCGTGGCGTCGTGCCCCTGATGGCCGCGGAGGGCGGCGGCAACGGGCGGGGCTGCCGAGCGGGGGGCCATGGGGGGGGGGGGGGGCTTGCCCAACGCCCCGCTGCGCTTTACATGGGGAGTGGGAAAGTTGATGGTGGCGGGGGGCTCTCAGGTACACGTTAGGGCTTCCCGCTGTGGGGGAGGAAGGAGGGCACGGGGGATGAGGGGGGTAAGTGGGGGCGGGAAACGAGGGGGATAAGCGGGCGGAGGGCCTTGTGTTTCTCGGTTTGTGCAATTGGTTATTTCCCCGCTCCCCGTCGCGAGCCCGCTCCTGCGAACCGCGTTCCCGATGGAACTCACCGTCGCCTGCTCGGCGCTCTTATCGCGGGGGCGCATCTGTGCAGCAAGGCAGTGGTATATGGCTTGGCTGGTCGTTTGCTGCTTGTCACTCCCCCCTCCCCCGCCGCCTCGGCCGTTGCGCCGCCGCCGTTGCCCCCCCCCCCCCCCCCTTGCTTGGCGCCCCATGCCCATGCCCCGTTGGTCCGCGCATGGGCGTCCGAGGGTCGCGCGCCGATCATCCTTACTTTAGCGCCCTTGCACGGGCGTCCTTGCATCCTTGCATGGGCGCCCAAGGGTACCCTTGCATCCTTGCGTTCTTGCGTCATTGCACCCGCATTTGAGCATCGGGCAACGACGCGCACCCTTACTTGATCATCCTTGCATGGGCGCCCAAGGGCCGCACTTCCCTACTTGAGCATCCTTGCATGGGCCCCCAAGTGCTGCCCAGCGCTTGCGCATCATAGCCTGGGCGCCCAACTGTCGCACATCGCCGTGCCATTATCTGAGCGCCCAAGGGTCGCGCATCCTTGCGCGGGCGCCCGTGGGTCTAGCTGCATTGCGCCTCGACTCGAGCGCCAATGGGCAGTGCGTGTCTGGAATCTCTCTCCGTAGCCGTTTTGGCTCAAAGTCGCGCCGCCCGCGATATAGCACGGGTGCGGCATGGTTTGCCCGCGGGCGGGCGCGTTCGATGCTGGACGGGCCAATCCTTCGCGGTCGCGATGCAGCGCTGGGAGGGCTGGTCTCGCACGGCAGAGCGGCTGTGGGGTTTTTCGCCGCTTGTGGAGGAATATCGCTGCTTGCGGCTTCGCCGCCGAGCAGCAGAATTGTTGTGCATCAGCAGCGATTCCGAGTGCGAGGCGGCGCCGTGTGCGAGACGGCGCCGAGTGACGACATTGGCGGACAATGCGTCGGTTGCGGCGACGGCATCTGCGGCCAGTCCACTGGCTGCGACGGCAGGTGCGCCCATGCCCAGTGCATCGGCAGCGGCTGCCATTGCGGCCTGCGAGGTGGCTTGGGTAGTGGCGGACGATGCGGCAAGTGCGACGGCGAGTTCGACGGCTACGACGCCTATCTTGCCCATCGTGGTGTCCAGCGTGGCGGAGTCCAGCGCGGCGGCTCTGGCGCCCAGTGCGGCGGCTGCCATTGCCGCTTGCGAGGCGACCGCGATGGCCAGCTTGGCGGTGGCGACGGCACGTGCAACGGCCAGTTCGACGGCTACAGCGCCCAGCGTGGAGTCCAGCGTGGCAGAGTCCAGCGTGGCGGCTGCGGCGTTCAGCGTGGCGGTCATCGCGGTGGAGTCCAGCGTGGAAGAGTCCAACGTGGCGGAATCCAGCGTGGAGCCCAGCGTGGTGGATTCCAGCGTGCCAGAGTCCAGCGCGGCGGTCGGCGCGACCTGTGCGACGACGCGCGCACCTGCCCAGGCGGCCGCTGCCGATCAGGGCCCTGAGACGGGACATACCGCGGGACGCGATGCCGCCGATCAGGAGCCTGAGATTGGACGTGGGTCGCGGGGCAGCCGACGCGACCATGAGGCGTGGGTCGCAATGCCGCCGATCAGGACCCTGAGATGGGACATTGCGCGGGACGAGGCCGAGATGGTGTTGGGCGCTGCCGACAGCGACGTGACCGTCCTGAGGCCGTGTTTGGACATCGCGGCGGAGGAGTTGCTCGATCGGGTGCGGTACGGCCTAGATTGCGCGAGATCGCGCGGCTGCGGCCGCGCGTGCATCGGGAGCACGTCGGACCCGAAGTGGAGGTGGCGGGGCGGGCTGTCATGGCGAGGCGACGGTCGTGACGGGCCAACTCGTATGCGTGGGCATCGCTGCCGCTGGAGGAAGATGATCGTTCTTGGAGGCTGGCCCGACCGCGATTGCAGAGAGGCCGAGGTCACGGCGCTGCGAGCGGCCGCGCGGAGTGGCCAGCTGACGAATCGGGCGATGGATGCTCGAGGCCTCAGCGCGCGGCCCTATGCGTACTCGTTCGTGTATATGTGTATGCATGATGTGAATTTGCGTTCCCAGGGTTCTGTTGCACGGGTGGGATCGGCAGAGTAAAATAATGGGTGGAAGGGGTGATGGAAAAAGAGGGATGGAGGAGGGGGGAGGGAGGGGGTCAGGAAGGGCGGGTGATTTACCATGGATGTCAAATTGCTTTCCCTCTTCCCCCTCTCTTCCCCACTTCCCCTCTTCCCCATTTCGGGCTCCTCCCCTCCTGCAACCTCTTCCCTTATTCGTCCCCTCTTCCCCTCTTGCAACGCTCTCCTCCTCTCCCCTCCTCCCCTCTTCCCCTCTTCCTCCTTCGGGCTCCCCCCCTCCTGCAACCTCTTCCCCTCTTACACTTCTATTCCTCCTTTCGGGCTCCCCCCCTCCTGCAGCATTCTTCCCCTCTCCCCTCCTCCCCTCTTCCCCTCTTGCAGCCTCTTCCCCTCTTCCCCCCCTCCTCCTCATCCTCTTCCCTCTCCCCTCCTCCTTTCGGGCCGGCCGCCCACCGTGCCACCGTGCCTCGCCTCCGCCGTCCCGATCTCAAACCTTTCGCCCTGAAGGGGCTTGCTCCCTGCACTGGCCCGTTCGCGCTGACCGAGCGCGGCGTCAGCCGTCAGCCGTCAGCCATGGGTGCCTCGAGGAAGGCCAAGGCAACGTCCGAGGCCGAGGCGGCGCCACCTACGAAGGTCAAGAAGCTCGGCCCGTGCGACCTCTGCGGGCGGAAGGCGACGGAGGTCTGCTGGTTTATGCAATGGCGTGCCTCTCGACGATTGCGACAACGACGATTACGACGATTACGACGATTACGACGACGACGACGACCACGACGACGACGACGACGACGACGATGACGACGACGACGACGACGACGACGACGACGACGACGACGACGACGACTACGACGTCGACGACGAAGACGACGACGACGACGTCGAGAGGTCAACGACGGTGAACTCATCCCTTGGGCGCAGTACCTCACCAAGGCGGGCAAGAAGGGCGAGCCTCCGCAGCAGCAGCCCATCGGAACCCAGTGCGAGGATTGCACCGTCTGGCACAACGAGCACATGTATTTCCTTTCTTGGGACGACGTCTGCGCGATTATTGCAAAGGGAGATCTGCTGTCCGAGCGCATATTGACTGCCATGAAGTCGCACAGGAGCGGCCAGTCGACGAGCCGCGTGCAGTGCCATCCAACTGGGGTGATGTCCAACACGAGGACTGGCCCCCTGGTTTATCGCGAGGGCCTCTTCCTGACAAAGCCAGATTGGGACGACCTCTTCCCGAACGACAAGCCGTCGGATTTGAACGCGCAGAGCGTGCTGGGCGTCAACGAGGACGGCGAGAAGGTCAGGGGATACCCGATCAAGGACGCGAGCCAGCCGTACCGCAAGTTCCAGATGTTCGGCTGCTTGGAGGTCGACGTGGAGGACCACTATTTACGGCCTGAGTCGGCTTGCATCGATGAGCAGGTGAAGGCCGCGGTGAAGGCCGCCAAATTCGCGGACCCGACGGGCGTCAAGAACATCCTCAGCGGCAACGGGTTCTTCACCATTGACGAGCTCAAGGCCAGGGCGGAGGCGAACAAGGTTGAGAGGGAGAATGACCAGGCTTCCCTGGATGCCGCCCGTCGCGCCGCTGAGGAGGAGGTTGCGGCTGATGCGAGCGGCTCCGAGAACGGCGACGTGGTGTGCGGCTCGGTCGCGATGGAGCACGGCTATCCAAATTAGCTTTCTTAACGAGGTGGGGCCCCCCAGGGGGGGCCCAGACATATGCTGGTCGCCCTGGGATCGGATAAGGCCAAAGTGCCCCATCGCACTTGTCACGGCCCCCCTCTTCGCCCTACGCAGTTCGTGCCCCCCCCCCACCACCCGCTGCCGAGACACCCTCGCCCTTTCCCACCTTGGCCCGCACCCCGCCCCCAGGGGCCCGTGGGGGGGGGGCGACCTCCGATTCGCCCCCAGCTTTTCCTTCGCCTAGCATCTCGCATCTAGCGTCTAGCGCGCCCCTGCTCGCCATCCTCGCTCCCCGCTGGGGCGCTGCCCCCCCCCCCCCCCCTCCTCCCTGGGCCCCTGGATCGTGGATGTCTCGATGTCCGCTCCTGGCCGTCGCTATTCGCTCGTCCGATCGGCGTCGGAGTCTGTTGTATATGGCCCCGAGCGTCGGGCCAGGGGGTTGGGGGCACCCAGAGGGCAATTCGGCCAAGAAGAGTGCCAACAGCAAGTCCACTGGGACGGCTATCACGCTGTGCGGGTCCTCGAGTGGCGACGGCAGCCTCTGGTTTATGAAGCAGCTCCATGACGGTGTCAAGCTCAGGCTGTGCGACGACGTCGACGAATCGAACGACAGAGGGCTTCGCAAGAGCACAGTGTATTGGTTGTGGAAGCTGGATGTGACAAAAATATTATGCCTCAAGAACCTCGGACGCGAAGAAGGCCATGCCGAAGCTTGCAGGGATCGCATGCGCAGCAAGGGTTGCACCAAGGACGTGGACGCCCTGAACAAGCTACTAGAACAGTGCAGGGAGGCGAGGGTGATCACCTCGGAGGAGGGGTACTTCAACGCCATGGACGACGCCACTCTGTCGAAGGCGCTGGATGCTTGTTCCGACGCGCTTGGAGATAGGCCATTCCCTTCCGATGTGCTCGCCAGGCTGCACAAACGCAGGTCCCTTCGGGCCCGCGAGAGCGCCTTCACGAGCGCAGGGACATCTGAAATGCTGGAGTATTTTGCTATCAACCGCTTGGCGCCGCATTCGCATGAGTTCGACATCAAGCGCGTCTGCCTCGTGGACCTGGACGGAAGCCCGCAGGATAAGATCGACCAGTTATACACCGTCTTGTTCGAGGATGTTGTGTTGTATCGTGTATCCCAGGCGCTCGACCCCACCGTAGATGTGTCCATCAAGGCTGCTGAGACCACGATATCTTTGTTCCTGGCCTGCTTGGTGACAGAGATGAGGGCTTTCAGCGAGGAGGAGAACTACGCCGACGCGCTGATGGACATGCAGGAGAGCTGCCCTTTGGCCATGGCCCTCCTCGGCGACGTACATGTGGGAAACATTGATACCACCACCAAGTTGGATGAAGTCCTGCCCAAACCCGCAAATGCAGCTCAGAAGAGGTTCGCGGAGTTCTGCAACACGAACTCGCACGCTGGCACATCGTGGGGAAATGTTGTCAAGTCTTGGAGTGACGCCCGCGTGTGGCAGAACACGTTGCTGTCCATCACGGCTGCCCTTAACACGCCATGCCACGACCTCGCGGGCAGGATTGACCAGGTCAGGATACAGGCCAAGGAGAGTGCGCCTGTGCTCGTGAACGCCCCCCTCGACATCAAGTTCAGCGTGCGACATCTGCTCGAGAGCAAGGCAAAGGAGATCTACGCGGAATGCATCGAGGCTACCAAAGGCGTTACTCCCGACATCATCGTGGCGGAGAAGTGCATTACTTTGATGGATTGTATCCTTGGCACGTGTCCGAATTGCCCCGCCGATTGGGTTACGATGAAGGGTCAGCTGACCTCCGCGATCACGATGACCAAGCAGCACGCACTTGCCAACAACTTCTTATCATCATGCCGCGGTGTTGCTGGTCTGCCTTTCTCAGCAGGCGTGCAGGTATCATTGAAGAGCACAGAGAACGCGCCGATCGTTGACGAGTTCCTCAAGCAGTTCCGCATCTTGGGGAACACCAACGTTACATGGGGCGACGCGGGCGTGCAGGATGTCTACAAGGAGGCGTTCGACAAGCTTGTCTACGGCTTGGTAGAGGACACGATCGAGACGTGGGACGACCGCAGCAGGAACATATTGACCAACGCAGAGAAGCTGCTGGGGATTCTTACCAACCAGCCTGCAGGTGCCAAGGAGGCGATGCAGGTGCTGAAGGCGATCGAGGCTACGCACGGGGCCACCGATGCTTGGTGCCGCCTCGCGGACTGTCCGGAGCTTCGCTGGCGTGAGGGCTCGGGGCGGCTGAAGCTTGAGGATTACCAGCGCAAGGCGGCCCATCTCAAGAGCTGCCGCGACGAATTGGAGGCGGTCGAGGAGAAGTGCGACTCCGCGAGGCAGGTGAGCATCATTGGCGACGCCTACTGCGACAACACGACGAGCGCACTGGCGGAGGTCAAGACTCAGGTCACGGACGCAGTGGCGATGAAACTAAGAGAGTCTATGCGCTCGTTCAGGCCAACGGCGAAGGGTGGCAAGGACGGACAGTCGTGGCAGGACGGTGTTGACGATTGTGTGCAGTTTCCTGAGTATCTCCGCATCGCAGAGGAGAAGCTGTTCCCATTCGACGGCAAGACCTTCATCGAGCGCCTGGCAATCCTGCAGCAGGACGCGCGAAGGGAACGCCGTCGTCGTCGTCGACGTCGTCATCGTCATCGTCGTCGTCGTCGTCGTCGTCGACGGCGACGGCGGCGGCGGCGGCGGCGGCGAAGACGACGACGACGACGACGATGTCGACGACGTCGGCGGCGACGTCGACGGCGACGGCGACGGCGACGACGGCGACGACGACGACGACGGTGGCGACGACGACGACGACGACGACGACGGCGGCGGCGGCGGCGACGACGGCGACGACGACGACGACGACGATGACGACGACGACGACGACGACGACGACGACGACGACGACGACGACGACGGCGACGACGACGGCGGCGACGGCGGCGACGGCGACGGCGGCGGCGACGACGACGCCCCCCAGGACGTTTCCGACTTGGAGGTGGTCGAGAAGTTCTTCGAGCGGAAGTTCGAGGGGGAGAACCCGCGCCTCCTCGTCAAGCAGGGCCGCATCACCGACGCCGAGTACGTGATCATGAAGCGCCTCAAGCAGTTCACCCTCACCGAGAAGAAAGCCGACGACAAGAAGCTCCTCAGGCAGGACATCTCCAAGGAGCTCGCGACGAGGAGTCGCGAGGACAATCTCTCGGTGGATGCGGACTTCCACCCGTGCCTGCGTGAAGCCGCCAAGGCGGCGAAAGTAGGCAGATTTCAGTGATGCACGATGCACGGTCTCGGGTTTCACGACTGCGACGACGACAACGACGACGGCGACGACGACGACGACGATGACGACGACGACGACGACGACGACGACGACGATGTCGACGACGACGTCGACGTCGACGACGACGACGGCGACGACGACGACGACGACGACGACGACGACGACGACGGCGGCGGCGGACGACGACGACGACGACGACGACGACGACGACGACGACGACCACCACCACCACCACCACCACCACCACCACCACCACCACCACCACCACCACCACCACCACCACCACCACCCGCGCCCAGGCCTTTGCAATACGTTGCAGGCATGGGTGGCGCGGATGCATGACAACCTTGCCACTGCAGGCTTCGGTGGAGCTCCCTCTGGGGCTTCGGAGCGTCTGAGGGGTGTGCCGACATTGGTGCTGGGGGCGCATGCAAATTTTGCCATTGGGGCCTTCGGTGGAGGTCCCCATGGGGTCACGAAGCGTGTGAGGGGGGGTGCCGAAATGGGTGGCGGGGGCGCATGTAAACCCTGCCATTTGGGGCCCTCGATGGAGCCCCCTGTAGGGCCACGAGACGTGTGAGGGGTGCGCCGAAATGTGTGGCGGGGGCGCATGCAAATCTTGCCACTAGGGGCTTCGGTGGAGCTCCCTATGGGGCCACGAGACGTGTGAGGGGTGTGCAGACATGGGTGGTGGGGACGAGTGTAAACCTTGACGCTGGGGCCTTCAGTGCCCTCCCCCCCCCCCCCCTGAGTGCCACGAAACGTGCGAGGGGGTGTGGCGGAAAGTTGCCTGGTGGCCATCCTGGTGGTTTTGGGGGGAGGGGTGGGCTCTCGGGGCCATGCTGGGGGGGGGGCATCCGTCACGGTCGGAGGCGGCCTTGGGCTACCTAGGGCAATCCTAGGGCACCCTTGGGGTTGCATTTGGGGTGTCTCCTGAGGCCCCGCTGGTTTGCCACGGGTCTGCCATCTGGAGGTCATGGAGAGGGACATCGGTCAAGGCATTGTGGGGTCGCAATCAGGGTCATGCCTCTTGGGGCTCTCACGTAGATCATGGTGGTCCTCTTGAGGCGCCCTGGGGGCCGATATTGTGTGCTCATCGGGGCCGTCCTGGAGCTTTGCTGGGGCCCCCATTTGGCTGCCTGGTTCAATCCTGGTGCACTGTTGGGTTTTCGGATTGCCATTGCAAGCTGCAATGCGAACATGCATCATATCTAGATGCCGATTCGGTCTTGCTGATAATTCGGCCGATGAGGGGAAATCTGGGCGGCCCCGCGGCCGCTCGAGCCGCCCGCTGGGGCGGGGTGGCCGCGACCCGCCAGGGGCGCATTGGGAAGGCAATGCTGGTGACTGTCGTTGCATATTGCAGGCCATCCTTGGGTCCATATCGGGGTAGTGTGGATGCAATCTTCGGGCGCGCCCTCATTGGGCTCCAAGCGCGCCAGCCTCATGTGAAGGGGCGTGGAGGCTCTTGCGAGGGCGTGGGAAGCGGCGGGCGGGGTGCATAAAAGGGTGAGAGATGGCCCAGGGCACGGGCGCGATTCGGGAGGGAGGTGGGCGCGGGGGGAGGTCAGACTTGCAGGAGGCAGATGTGAGATACTATGGCATGGAAAAGCGCGTGGGCGGTGGGCGGGCAGGCAGGGCGACGGTGCAATCGAGGAGGATAGGGGCGGATGGGGCTGGCGATGGGAGGGTCATGGAGCGCGGGCGCATGAGAGTAGTTGGAAGATGTCGGGGGGCGGCATGCGCAAATGGGATGGGGGTGCGGGGCGCTCGGGGCGGGCGCGGAGCAAGAAAGACGGACGGGCGATTCATAGGGGGGCGATGGCTCATGGGTGACGGGAGGGGGCGGGGGATTGGAGGTGTCATCGCGACGCGGATACTGATGTAGATGATTGCACACCAGGAGAAAGAGTTTGATGAGGAGACCGTGCATCTGGAAGCATCGGGCGCGCGTTGCCCGCTGCTTTTTTTCGGGGTGGTACGGGGCGCTTGCCGCGGGGCGGCGAGGGGCCCAGTGCCGAGAGACAGCGGGGCACACACCGTTTCCAAGGTGTGCGGTTGAAGTCCAGTTTGGCATTGCGAGAAGGCAGTGCCATCCCGATGCACGCGGCAAGCCCCGCCGCCGCGCTTGTGCACCATCGCTGCAGGAATGATCTCGAGCGAGAGAATATCGCAACATCGACGGGTGTTGTAAATTGCAGCGGGCCCTGCGCTGCACCCTTTTTTCGTCGGCGCGGCAGGGAGGCGGTCGGGTTCGCGCCCCGCCGCAGTGTAGCGAGCGGTTTGAACGGATGCGGATCGCGAGCTTGATTTGACGAGGTCATCGTTGCAGGGATGATGAGGTGGGAGAACATGAGGAGGATGAGAAGGATACTCAGGATGACGCTGAGGAACATGAGGAGGGTTAGATGCATACAAGGATGATTGCCAATGGTCTGATCTTTCGACGGGTCGCGAACTGGATTCTGTCGACGCCACCGCGGTAAGCGGGGAGGTAGATATGGCGACCCGCTGCAGTGCAGCGAGCGGTCTGGATTGGGGCGGGCCGTGAGCTTGACCTCGCATTCGTCCGCGCAAAGGGAAGGATGCCGAGTTCACGCCCAGTCGCATCGCAGCGATCGGTCTGAACTACGGCGGGCCTAAGCTTCCTGACGGCCTCTGGGTGGCCTCTTGGGAGCCTCCCGTTGCGATCATGGGGTCCTCCTGGGCTTATTTTGGGAGGCGTCTTGGCAGCCTTATGGGCTGTCTTGGAGATATCTCCGAGGCCTCTTGGGCCGCCCTAGGCTGTCGGACACCCAGACAGGCGAGAACGCATTATTTCTTCAGAAACCTGTATGAGCTCGATGCTTCTGTGTCTTACGTTGGTTTTCCTGGACGACCTCTTTGAACCCTGTTGGTAGCGCGTTGGGTGTTATTGTGCCATCCTGCGCGGTATTGGTATGCTCTTGGCCCGCCTGGCACTTTCGGAGGCTGCCTTGGTGACGTGTCTGGGCCGCCTTGGCGCCCTCTTGGAACGATTTAGGGCCGTTGTGGGGTAATGTTGGGAACCCTTGGGCGATCGTGGTGCCCCGTTGGGCCGACTCGGGGCCTGCTTGGGAGCCTCATGGGCTGTCTTGGTGCTAACTTGGATGCCTTGTAGGCAATCTTGGGCGGGAGAAAACCGACACGGGCGAGAACCGCACAACATGCCACCGCTTTTTTTTTTTTTTTTTTTTTTCTTTTTTTTTTTTTTTTTTTTTTTTATTTTTTTTTTTTTGCTTTTTTTTTTTTTTTTTTTTTTCTTTTTTTTTTTTTTTTTTCTGTAACAAAAACATGGCTGTTGTGTTTTATCGAGTTCTTTTGGAAAACATATTGGGCCCATCCTGGACAGTCTTGGTGGCCTCCTGGGCCGCCTTGAGGCAATATTGGGAGCCTCTTGAGCCGCCTTGGGTCACCATGAGCTGCTGTGATGTCGCCCTGGTCGTTTTGGAAGCCCTCTTGCAGGCAACCCTGGCCGTTTGGAAACCGAAATTGGCGCCAGCAGGCGATTCCAGGTGGGCATATATTTCATGCATGCGCGCGGCGAGGGGGGGGGGGGGGCGGGGGTTCGGCCTAGAAGCCAATGCCCCCACCCCCCAGAGGGGCCACCACAACATTCTAACACGCCCAGTATGCGCAGGCACGGCGGCGGGCCCCCCCCCAGCCCCCTACGCCCGTGTTTTCCCCCATCCCCCCTCCTTCCCCCTCCTCCTTCTCTCCCCACTCCCTCCTCCCCTTCCCCCCCCCGCCTCCCCCCCTCTCCCCCGCCCCCTTCCCGCCGCCCCCGATCCCCCATTTCCTGCTCGCCACCCCTCATATTGCAGCGCGCTGGCTCGAGGTGGCATCGCCATCGCACAATCATCCCTGAAGTTGTTCTCAGAGTAGCGCCCGCGTCCGCTCCGCGCGGACGCGGGCGCGGAGCTCTCGGCCTCGCCGAGAGCTCCAGCGCGCAGCCTCACCGCGTGCCGCCCCCCCCCACTTTGGCACCCCCCTCCACAATGGCCTCCCTCCTCTACTCTACCACGCCCCCATGCCGTTCGGCCTCCCCGCATGCCGCCACCCCTCCACGTTGGCCCCCCCCTCCACTTTGGCCCTCCTGGGCGTGATCGCGCCCTCTCGCCCCTGTGCACCCCCCCCCCCCCCCGTTTTGTTTTCTCGTACCAAGTTCGAGGGGGGGGGGGGGGGGGCGAGGAGGAGGACGAAAGCGCCCCCCCGCCCCCGCCCGCTAGGGTCGCAGATGCGGCCCCCGACTGCACGGGCGCGGCCCCCGTTGGCACGGGCGCGGCCCCCGTTGGCGCGGACGCGCCCCCTCCTTGTCCTTCTCCTTCTCCTTCAGTCCTTTTCCCCTCCTCCTCTCTTCTCTTCTCGGGCACGCCCCCCCCCCCCCCCTCCCCCCCCCCCCCCCCCCCCCCCCCCCCCCCCCCCCCCCCTTCTCACTCGGCACCCCCCCCCCCCACTCATTTTTTTTTTTTTTTTTTTTTTTTTTTTTTTTTTTTTTTTTTTTTTTTTTTCTTCTTTTCTTTTTTTTTTCTTTCCACACCCCCCCCCCCCCCCCCCCCCCCCCGCCCCCGTGTCTGATCCGCCCGAGGCAACCGCCGTTCCCGACCGTTCTGCCAAGCTCGCCTTTCGAGAATCGCGGGCGCAAGCAAATTCGATTCGCCCGGGCCGCCGCCCGAAAACGGCCCGAATTTCCACGTTAACATAGAAACCGCCCTTGTCCGAAATCTGCCCGAATTCTGGGTTCCCTCAAGTTCACGCCATTCTGCATGCTGGCCGCGGTCTCAAACGGAGGAGGAGGATGAGGAGACGGAGGAGGAGGAGGACGAGGAGGAGGAGGGGGAGGAGGAAGGAGGAGCGCGAACGCGTGGTCACTTACCTTCTCCAGTCCTCAAGTCAAAACAATCTTCACAGGACTGAACCGAGAATGGTGGGCCTCCCTTCGTGGGAGATTGGGAATCGGTCCTCCACGTGCA